TGTTCTCCAGATTTCTTGGCACAACTTGGTGAGCACATCCAGGGCAACATCTGTTATCTGAAATACTTCAATTGGTATACCATCTGAATTACAGGTGACTTGATGGCACATAACAACAAAAATAATAACATAATATGTGACAGGAAAGGAAATACACAATAAGGAACTGATCAGCACAATGCCACTAAAGAAATGGAAGAGACAAAGAGGCATACAAGAAGCACAGCCAACATCTAATATATAGGCAGCAGTCAAAGCAAACAAAAATTAATGGAAATTAGAAGTAGAAAAGGTACAATTGCATTGTGAATATTGTGATTAATGTTTAAAATAAAATGCCATGAAAAACCAGTTTTCTTTGTAAACTTTTATTCAAATGAATATCAAAATTATTTGGTCTTCTAGCTGGTCTAGAGTAGATAAAAAAATAAAACCTCAAAATCACCACAGTCAAGTCAGGGCCAGTTCACAGCTGACCTTCCAGGGGGCTTCCAGGCCCTGAAAATTACACAGGAGGAAATTACCCATCTTTCTCCAGCAGAGCAGCAAGTGGATTCAAATAAGCAGGCACTTTTGTGTTAGCAGTGTAACTTCCTACTGACTACACCACCAAAGTTGAAAGTTTCAAAAAGTGAAACTTGCCTGTGAGGTGCTGGCAAGGCACAAAGAGCTGCTAAATATTAAACAGTAGCAAACTGAAGAAGAAATTCTTTCATAGGTGGCAAAAACGGGTCTATTTAAGAATTTCTCCTTCTTGAACATATTATCACTTAATATTCAGCAATTTTTTGCTCTGTCAGCACCTCATAGGCAGATTTCTCTGTTACTTAGTTCTATACATGAGCTAAACACAACTTGACAGCAAATAACAAACATTCACATAAAAAGGAAAGCTTTTTCATTAGTAGGGACACTAGAAGATTTTATCTGGCTGCGTGTCCATCTGGTAGCCTAGTGGTAAGAAGTTGCACTGCGATCCCTAAGACATACAGTTCAAATCTGCCAGCAGCTGCCTGGGAGAATGATGGCCAATCTCCTCCCATGCAATTAACTGCCTCTGAAAACCTACTGAAGGGTCAGCTGTGGGTTAGTTCTGACTCAAGGGCACACAGCAACAACCTATCCATGTTAGATTTAATATTGAGACTCTGAATTTGACTTTCCAATAATTTAAACAGCTGAAGCCACTGAGAGAGGTATTCACATGTGGCAGAGAAAGTGGTAGGACTATGCAATTTGTCTCTTTACCTATGTCTTCTGCAATTAGCTGAATATCAGACATCCATGGTAAGCTCTGGTCAAGGTTGGCATTTTATACTTTGCACTGACAAAGCACTCGAGTTGATTCTGGTGCATGATCACACACTTATCAGAGAAGACCTGTGCCCCAAGGGTTTTCAAAAGATTTTCCAGAAGGAGTTTGCCAGACCTTTCTTCCAAGGCATCTGTGAATGAACTTGAAAATAAAGTTAGAGTAGCAAACTTCCAATGTTTTGGTTTGCAGCTGAGCATGGCAACTATTTGCACTACCCGGGGACCTCTTCCATTTGATTATACCAGTATATCTAGTTTGGTTTTATAAAGTTGGAGTAAGAAAGTTGCAGAAAAAAATTAATGAGTTCAGAGCAAGTGCTCTAATTCTGATGTTTGTGGACTCTTTAGATATCCTTTAGATATCTCTTTAGATATCCTTGGGCTGACTTCAGGCCTTGAAACTCTAAAATTTATGTAATGGATTAATGTTTCTACCTCATTGCTATTAAGTAAGACCTTAACTCATTGCTGACTCTCTAGTGGGTCTCCAGAGTCTGTCAATAGCACCAGAGGAGATAGCCCATCTTTTTCCCTTGGAGCAGCTGGTGGATTTGAACTGCCTGCCTTTGATCCTTACAAACTAGGCCACAAGAGCCTCCAAAGCCTGTTAGTTTGAACAACTTGGTTGTCCCCCCCCCCCGCCCCAGGAAGTTGGTTCACAGGTGTCGTTGTTGTTATACCATCGAGTCAGAACTGACCCATAGTTGATCCTATGGTAGCTTTTTAGAGACAGCTAATCACATGGGAGGAGATTGCCTGTTTTTCTTCTGTGGAGCAGCTGGTGGCCTTGAACCATATGTTTTCAGGATTGCAACACAGCTTTTTGCCAGTAGCCTACCAGAGGTCCCTTCATTAGGTTTTCAAAATTATCCATCTCAAAATAATACTCAATATGTTGCAGGTGGAAGATAAACCATTTGACTCACGTTGATTGGTGGGCATGAGGACAGATAAAGTGAATATAAACCTAAACTAAATCCCCCCCCAAAAAATAAAAAAAAACCTAAACTAAACCCATTGCCTATGAGTTGATCCTAACTCATAGCAGCCCTGAGGACAGGGCTGTAAATCTTTATGGGAGCAGTTGGGTTCAAACAGCCCATCTTTTGTCTAACAATCAAATGCTTTAATTACTATACCATCAAAGATCCTTATGAGGAAATAAAGGCAATTAAAAACCACTAAAAGCAATAGTATCTGCATTGCCCTTTTCCAACCTTCTACCTCAGCCTCAATATTAATGATTGAGAAATACATCTAGCTTCTCTTTTCCTGTCTGTTCACAAGCAGATGTGTTAAGGTAGCAGGACAGTGACCAGAAGCAGGTGCGAGGAGAAAATGACCTACTTTTGGCTCACTGTTAGATTCTCAGCACATGCACATTGGGAAATTACCTTGCCCTTTGGGCTCTTCTGGTTGGCTGGGTACATGAAGATCCCTCCATAGACCAGAGTGCGGTGTACATCAGCCACCATGGAGCCCACATACCTGGCCCCGTAGGGAGCACTGCCATCCTAAAACAAAGAGGGAAGAGCAAGTCCAGAGAGTTCACAAATCCAGTGGATGTAGACTGTACCTTCCTACTCCTCCACTCACTCCTAGCTTAGGAATGAACACATTGCACACTTAAATATTTCATTCCTCAAAAAATCATCAACCAACAGCTTAAATAATTTAAACACAAAATGACTAGCTAATCTTCTCTACTCCTTCCCCCAGCTTCATAGGTAGCACACACAAACAATTTTCTAGTAACCCATTGTAACTTCCTCCCAGATTGATAGTATTTTTAACTTTGTGAGAACTAGATATCCTTGAAAAAAATCACAGCTTTTGCACTTTAAGCAAGGACTGTTATGTAATGCAACCCACTAGCAAAATGTTAGATGACTTTAGAAACCAGTCCAAGATGCAGAACAACTTATTTGTCAACCTCAGTTCCATTAGTTCTATGATGAATATATTTGTTTAGAAAGAAAACTACCATTTCAATTTGTCAAGAGAAACATACCATGATTTTCTTCAAAGTAGGTCATAGCCAGTAAGACAAAAACAACACACTTTGGTAAGTTTGTTTCCCTCCCCCATCCTGTGATCCAGCTGGGAGTGTGTGTGCACATGTGTGTGAGCGAGAGAGAGAGAGAGAGAGAGTGCGTGTGTGTGTGTGTCTAATCTAATCTAATCTAATCATTCTCTGAGAGTGTAAGTGATGATAGATTTTCTCAGTGCAGCCATGCAATGTCTCATCTCTGACAAAGTTTGAGATTAATTCAGCCCAGTGTAAATGACAAGTAAGAACAAACTAAGAAGTTTAGAAGTGCAAAAGAACTTATAAAGACTTAAACTGAAAGTAAAGTGACTTATGAGTCAATAGCAATAAGGTCAAAGGTTATAATCTGGTGGCCTATTTAGGTGTCTTATTTAGAAAATTTGTGTATGTGTGTATATTAATTAGTAAATGTTTTAGTTATATATTGCTATGAGAAAAGAGATATCACAGAAGATTAAAAAAATGTAAATTTACTCTTTCACACTCCAGGGGGGTTAGATGTGCTAGTCCAGGCGAAGAAGTCTTGGTGGTATTGTTGCTGTGGACCATCAACCCTGCAGTGAATTTTCCAAGGCAATCTCCACAGAAGGAGATTGCCTATCCTTCTCCCTTGGAGCTGGTGTTGGATTTTAACTGCATGCTTTCTAGATTGCAGCACTGGTTCTTAACACCAGGCAACCAAAACTCCCTTGGTGGTATAGTGAGCATATCAGGGAACAAAATTCAAATCCATTAGAGGCTCTGTTGAAGGCAGGTGAGCAAACTCTTCCTATAAAGATTTACAGCCTTCATAACTGAACAGGTCACCATGAATCAGAACCACACTGAAAGCAATGGATATTAGTATTACTCCTCCTCCTCCTCTACTTTCTCCTCCTCATCCTCCTCCTATCTCTCAGGAAGGCTTTCTTTCTGTTCAGGAACAGGAAACCAGACCCAAAGGATTCGATGGGTAACTAATTCTTCCATCTTAGTGGTGCTGAGGTTCTTCTCCCCCATCTTTTTGTCTCCTTGTATGCCTTGTGAAATAGAAGCTGTCACAGGTCACATCCCAGGGAAGCTCTCCTTGGATGGGTCAAGGCTCTGATAGAAATAAGGGTGCTGCATCCCACCATCAATCCTTTTATAACTGCTTGGCTTATCAGGTAATGGGGTTTTGCTGTATAGTTGTTTTTTTTGGGTTTTTTTTGCTTTGTTTACCGGATAATTTTTTCCCCTATATTTTATTAATTTTCATAAACATTTACAGAGATTTGGGGTTTCCATTCATTCCTTGTTGCACTATTCTCTCTACCCTCCTCCCAGTTTGTTCTTGTCCAAATGCCACAGTGCTTGTCAAAGCCAGTTCTGATTAATCTTCTTTGTCAGTGTGTCCTTTGCCATTCCCTATCACTCCTCCCTGAGAGAGACTTCACCCTGAGTCATAAGGAAAAGGGGATGGCGTATTCTCTTAGCTACTTCCTGCTGAAAAGGGACGCTGTGGGTTTCAGGGTTGCTGTATAGTTTTAACACACACATTTTAGAGGAGCACAAATCAATCCATGATATTAGTAATGGTTGGGCAATTTCTCATAAAAATCCAATGTAAAAGAGTGAACAGTGTGGCACGGTGTTTGCACAGCTGGAACTCTTTAACACAAGTTCTTGAATTATCCAGCTGCCATGAGGTTCACCCATTCCTGAGGACATGTGGTTGAGACACCTAAATTGAGTACTCTCCTCAGAGTTTGCTCAGGGGAAGTGGTTTGAATTTAGTTTCATTTTATTTACATAGCCTGGTTTAGGAGGAACTAAAAAAGTAAAAGTATTGACTAGTAAAATTTGAACTTTAGTCTATCCCTTATGAATTTAAAAACCAACTCAGGAATAGGTTTGAGGCCTTGAACACTAATGAATGAAGACCAAATGAGCTGTGGGAAGATATCAGTAATAACATTCATGAAGAATGCAAAAAGTCATTACAAAGAAGGAAGAAGGAGGAGGAGGAGAGAAGGGGAAGGGGAGGGGGAGGGGAGGGAAGGGGGAGAGGTGGGAGAGGGGGATGAGGAGGAGTAGAGAAGAGGAGGGGGGAGGGAGAGGGAGGGGAGGGAGAGGGGGAGTGGAGAGAGGGGTGGAGGGGAGCATAGGGGGAGGAGAAGGAGAAACCAAAAGGGATGTCAGAAGAGACTCTGAATATTGCACTAGAGCACTGAGAAGCCAAAGCAAAGGGAAGAAATCAAGAAGAAGCTGAACAGAAGATTTCAAAGGGCAGCTGGGGAAGACAAGGCAAAATATTATCGTTAAATTCAGAAGAAACCATGGAATGAGGGATATCATTGATGACATCAGGTGGATATTGAAGGAAAGGAAAGAATAAGAGAAAGATGTGTGCTTGTGTTTTATTGACTATGTGAAGGCATTTAGTTGTGAGTTGTTGTTGTTATTGTGAGAAGTCATTGAGTCGAATTTGACTCACATTATCCCTGTGAACAACAGATCTGAACCCCACCTTATCCTGTGCCATCCTCATCTCTGACACGCTTGATCCCATTGCTGCAGTCACAGTGTCCACCCGTTTTGTTGAGGGTTTTCCTCTTCTTTGCTGTCCTTCCACTTTCCCAAGTATGATGTCCATTTCTAAGAAATAACCTCTCCTAACAACTTACCCAAAATATGAGAGACAAAGCTTTACCATGTTTGCCTCCAATGATCACTCTGACTACATTTTACCCAAGACAAATCTGTTTGTTCTTTTGTCAGCACATGGAATCTTCAGTACTCTTCTCCAACACCACAACTTAAAGGCATCAATTTTTCTTTCGTCCTACTTACTCATTGTACAGATCTCAGAGGTATTGTGGGTGATTGAAAAGACCATGGCCTGTATCAGGTACACCTTTAGTCTCCAAGATGACATCATTGCTCTTCAGTATGTTGGAAAAGCCCCTGACAGCAGATTTGCTCGATGTAATATGTCTCCTGATCTCCTGACTGCTGGTACCAAGTATGTTGACTGTTAATACAAGTAAAATTAAATCACTGACTATCTCAAATCTTTCTACCAAAATGTTGCCTATCGGCTCAGTGATGAGGATCTTTGTTTTCTTGACATTTAGATGCAATTCATCTTGAAGGCTGTATTCTTTGATCTTCCATAGCATGTGACTCAAGTCCTCCTTACTTTCAGCAAGCAAGTTGTGTCATTTGCATAATGCAGATTGTTGATGAGTCTTCCTCCAATCTTGATGCCACATTCCTATTTACAGAGTCCAGCTTCGTGAATTATTTGCTCAGCATACAGGAAGAATAGATATGGAGAAAGAATACATCCCTGACACACACCCTTCTGATTTTAAACCATATAGTGTTCTCTTGTCCCATTCCAAAACCAGGTTCTTGGTCTTGGTATAAATTTTGCATGAGCACAATTAAGCATTCTGGTATTCCCACTCTTCTCAATGTTAACCATAGTTGCTATGATCTACACTATCAAATACCTTTGACTAGTCAATAAAGCATAGATAGATTTTTTTTTTATAGAATAGCTTAGCATCTGACCTTAGCAACGGTAGTTTCGCTGGTGGCAAAACCTCTTCTAAACCCCACTTGAACTTCTGACACCAAACGTCTGTTAATGTACTGTTCTAGCTATTTTTAGATGATCTTCAGTAATATTTTGCTCACATGTTATATCAGTGATATTATTCTATAATTTCCGCCTTCTATTAGATCACCTTTTTTGGGAATAGGAAAAAACACGATCTTTTCCATTCAGTTGGCCAGGCAACTATTCTCCAAATTTCCTTTCATAAACTAATGAGTATATCCAGGGCTGCATTTTTTCAGTGTAAAAAGATGAAATATCAACTGGAATTCCATCAATAGCTGGCACCTTATTTTTTGCCAATGTCTTCAGCCCAGCTTTGGTTTTCTTTGGGTTTTTTGGTTGTTGTTATTGTTTGATTTTGGGTTTTTTAAAAAATTATTATTATTTGTGTATACCATCAAATCAGATCTGACTGGTACAGGAGAAGATTGTCCCTCCTCCAACAGAGCATCTGGTGGATTCAAACTGGTCACCGCTGGGATTGCAGTGCAGCTTCTTACCACTAGGCCACCAGAGCTCTCCTGAACTACCTTGTTTGTAACCATTGGCTTTTGTTCATTTGGTACTGCCAGAAATTTTTCCAGTGTCAACCAATTCTTTTTGGTATAATAATTCTGGGCATTCCATTTTTTTGGATGCTTCCCGGATCTTTCACAATATTGCCTACAGCATCCCTCAGTATTACAATTTTTCCCCCCAAACATACAGACCTCCCTCCTTGAAAGGAAATATAGAGGAAAGATCTATCAGTTTTGGAATTTGAGGCTGGAATTTGTTTTTCAGTTCTTTCAGCTTGAGAAATGCTGAGTTAGTTCTTCCCTTTTTCTTGAACTCTTTGTTCTTTGTATATTTTGTTTTAATACTTTGTTTTGTCATCATAAGCTGACGTTTGAAATCTGTTTAGCTCTTTTATTTTGGCATCTCTTCCCTTTTTTTGGCTTCTAGATGCTAATTTTCAAAGTTTCTTCTGATACACACTTTTGTTTTTCTTTCTTTATTCACGGATGATGTTATTACCCCACCCAACCCCCTTTTTGGCTGAGTACAGTGTACTTTATTGATGGTACATTACAAGATGAACTCTCTAAGCTGCTCTCCTTTCTCAGGGAAATAGGATAGAAAATGTGTTAAGGATGTGAGATTTTCAGTGTAGGGGGGTGATAGAGTTGGAGCAAAGATTCTCCAGCTGAGGATCTCTCTTCTAGTGCTATTACTGGGTGGTAGTGCTATTGGTGCTCCAAGCGACTCTTATTCTTTGGAGCCCACATGAACCTTCAAGTCAACCACCTGGTTGCTACAGTCAAATTCATTGTCATACCAGGAAATGGGTTTGACAGAATGGTCATTCAGGGTAATGCCAGCCCCAGTATCAAAGGTAGAGGAGTGGTGTCACTGTTAAAGTCGTAGGAGACAACCTGGTCTTCAATGTATCCCAGGATGTCATATAGAGGCCCTTTTGATGCCTGTTTTACTACTTTCTTGATATTTGGCAGCTTTCACCAGACAGCAGGTCATACCCACAATGGACACATAGAGAGTGGGGATATGGAAAGCCATGCTAGTAAATTTCCTATTCAGCTCAGGGATGACCTTGCCCATGGACTTGGCAGCAATAGTAGGTCAAGGATGATGTTTTGGGAAGCTCCACAGCAATCATTCCACAGCATTCCAGAGGGGCTATCCACAGTCTTTTGGGTAGCAGTGATGGCATGGACTATAGTCATGAGTCCATCTAAAAGGCCAAAGTTGTTGCAGATGACCTTGGCAAGGGGAGGTTAAGCAGTTGTTGTACAGGAGGAATTGGTGACAATCTTGACAGAGTTATACTTCTCATGGTTCAAACCCATCATAAAGATGGGGGCATTGGTAGAATTTGGCACCACCCTTCAAGTGAGCCCCAGCCTTCTCCAAGGTTGTAAAGTGGACTCCACAAAATACACAGCACCAGAATCATCTCACTTGATGGTGGGATCTCACTCCTGGAAGATAGTGATGGCTTTTCCATTGAAGTTCCCCATTCTCAGCCTTTACAGTGCCATTGACTATGCCATGGATGGAATCATACTGGAAAACATAGTTCATGTGGTTGAGATCAATGAAGGGGTCATTGATAGCTTCCAATGTGACCAAATTAGTTTACTCTGACCTTCACCATTGTATCTCAGGGAAGCGGCTGAGACTGCATGAGAAGAGAGGGTTATCTGTTGATCAATGAGGAACAGAGAGCCCATGGATGATATTCTTGATTTAATCATACACCTCTACTAGTCTTTAATTATTGGTGTTCAATCCTTCAAAACTGTTCTTAAGATGATTTCTAAATTTAGGTAGGATGGACTCAAGGTTGTATTTTGGTCTTGTTTTAATTTTCTTCAGCTTCACTCTGAGCTTGCACATGAGTAAATGATGGTCTGTTCTCCAGTCAGCACCTGCTCTGCTTTTGACTGCTGATATTGAGCTGCCCACACATGTAGTCAATCTGATTGTTGTGCAGTCTATCAGGTAAGGCCCATATGTAAAGTTGTCTTTTGCATATTTTAAAAATACATTTGCCATTAATAAATCATTGAACGTATAAAATTCAATAATTCATTCTCCAGCGTAATGTCTCTCACCAAGTCCATATATTTCAACTACCATTCCTTCTTCATAGATTTCAACTTTTGCATTCTAGTCCCCAATAATTATCAATGCGTCTTTATTACATATATGATCAATTTCAGAGTATAAAACTTAAGTGTGATATATGATTATTATGGTTAGCACAGGAATCCAGAATTAAGGTTGCATAGAGAAGTGTACTCATGCGGGGGATGAAGGGAAAGGGATGGGGTAATTGTATACCAATGAAGGAATTTTTCTTTCTTTTTCTTTTCAGAGGGGGGCGTGGCAATGAATGAATGGAAATCCAAAATCTCTGTAAATGTTTATTAAAGTTAATTTTTAAAAAAGAAGCTGCTTTCCAGAAAAAAATTTCTTAATTTCCTCCCCTTTGGCTTTAGTTATTGGTATATATGTTTGAATGATCGTTATATCAACAATTCTTCCTTGTACACATATGGATAAAATCCTACCACTTACAACAATGTACTTTAGAATAGATCTTGAATTTGTCTTTGTGGATCATAACCAGTTGCAAATAACATTGAAAAAATGTGAATCCCAGAATTCTTATTTGAGTTCTTGCAAAACCTATACATAGACAAAGGCACAGTTGTCTGGAAAGCTGTTTGTTAGGGTTGTATCTTTTCTTCATTCCTATTCAGTCTGCATGCCGAGTAAAGAATTTGAGAACCAGGACTTTATGAAGAAGAACTTGGAATGAGGGTTGGAAAAAGACTCATCAACTACGTGTATTAAGCAGATGAAACAATCTTGCTTGCAGAAACTGAGAAAGACTTGAAGCACTTACTGAAGAACAAAGACTCCAATATGAATTACACTCTGACACTAAAAAAATAAAAAGACAAACACAAAAATCCTCACCAGTGAACCAATAGACAATACCATGATAAAGGGAGATTTAAAGGCTGAAACTGTCAAGGATGTCATATTACTTGGATCCAGTATCAACACTCAGCAGTAAGGCAATCAAGAGCTCTGTTGCACCAATAAAAGTTGCTATAAAAGACCTATTTAAAGTGCTAAAGAGCAGGGATGTAAGTTTAAAATCTAAGGTGAGTTGGATCGAAGCTATGATATTTTCAATTGCTTTATATGTATATGAAAATTAGATCATGAATATGGAATAAGGAAGAATCAGTATCCTTGAATTGTGGTATAAGTAGAGTATTGAATATACCATGGATTGCCAAAACAGCAAACAAAACTGTCTTGGAGGAAGGGTAAGTAGGGTGTTCCTTGGAAACAAGAATGGTGAAACTTCTTCTCATATACCTTACGCATGTCATTAAGAAGGGCCAGTTCCTGGGAAAAAAGACATTATACTGGGAAGGTAAAAGGTCAGCAAAAGAGAAGATCCTCAACAATGGGTTTGAATATATCAGAGATTGTGAGCATGGTGCAGGATAAGGCAATACCCTGATCTGTTGTTCAGTGGCAGGCAACAACCCAACAACAGCAAAATATATGTTCTACTCCAATGCTTATACTAACTAGAGCCATAAGGAGTAACATTACCCTTTTCCAACCATGGTGTCAAAAGTCACTTCCCCAACAGGTACCAACAGAGGAAACCTTTTTCCTTCTACTGACATATTCTTCACTCACCTCAGGAAATTTCTTTTTCTGCACATATTCAGTTGTGGCAGAGTCAAAATATTTGGCATATCCCTCATTGATGCTATAAATCTTTCCTCTCTTCTTTATTTTAACATCTTTTTCCACCAGCACAAATTCACCGAGAGCCTAGAAAAATGAGGAAAGACACTATAAAAAGAGAGAAATACCAGAAAATAAAATATTTCAGTCTGCTTGACGAATTTAAGGGTTTGCCATAGCCATTCTGAAACCTTTCTAATGAAGGTTTTAGATTTGTATAAGGAATATTATTGAGCCTATTCAGGGATATTATGCAAAGATAAAATAATTAAAAGGAAAGTAAACATAAGACTTTCTATTTCTTTGTTACCTGTGCTACTAATTAATATTGTGTTGCATTATCAGCAGGTTATTCATATATACATGACCTAGTTTTATTTGTCCTTCAAGTTCTCATTCTTATTTAATTACTGATGTTTCTATGAATATTTGGGCCATTAAGCATGAGAGAGAGAAAGATACACTTGGCCATTAATTTGTGGTTCAATTATTTTGTTTATTTTAGTAACCCAATAGCTGTTGTCATTAGATGATGTTTCAACTCATCGTAACCTTGCACACAACAAAACAAAACACTGACCAGGCTCACACCATCTTCACAGCTTTTGCTATACTTGAGAAAATGAAATATACTGTGCCTATCTATTTCACTGAAGGTTTTTCTCTTTATTGCTGGCTCTCTACTTGACAAAGCATAATATCCTTCTTCAGAGAGTGATCCCTCCTGAAAACATCTTTTAAGTATCCAAGATGAAGTGTCACTATCCCAGTTTCTAAGGAACATGCCAGCTGTTCTTCTTCAAGACAGATATATTCAATCTTCTGCTAGTTCATCCTTTTTCAGTGTCCAACATCAAAATGCATATGAGGTTACTGAAAGACAATAGTTTGGATCAAGTTCTCTTCAGTCCTGAAAGTATCATCTATTTTTTTCTTTTTTTAACATTGGAAAGAAGTCTTTTGAACAAGACTTGCAATGCAGTATGTGGCTTTCTTTCTTTTTTTTAAATACACTTTATTTTATTGTGATTTTTAATGAAAGTTTAAAGAAAAGTTAGATTTTGATTCATTCATTGTTCATCGTTGCACGTTTCCCTCCCTTCCTCCCTCAGTTAACTTTCATTTTTATTTCTTTTTCTTTTTTTTGTAACACATTGTCTTCCCTCCCTCCTCCAGCACACCTGGTCCACCCAGCAATGCACTCCTTGTTCTAGATTGTTTTCATACATATAATGCCTCATCTTTCCTTTCAGACAATTCTTTTCCTCATCTGTTTCTACTGGAGTGTTCGTTTTCTATGCACACTTTTCTCATTCTCTGCCCACTCCACTGCTATCTATCCTATTTTTTAACAATGGTGTTATACAGCATTGGCCTTTTTATGACTGAGAAATTTCACTCAGTATAATACTCTCCATATTCCCCCATCTTGTTAATGCTTTATGAGCTCTTTGTTTTTCAATGTTGCTTAACAATCCTCTGTGTGAATGTGTATAGCTTTTCTATCCACTCGTTTGTTGGGCATGTTTTGCTTCCTTGATCACTTCTTACAGGAATGCTGATTGTGGGTCCAAATAAAACGGCGTCTTTGATGACTTCAGTCTGTTTTTTATTCATTATAATGTTGTTTATTGGCCCCGTTGTTAAGCTTTATCTTTTTCTTTACACTGAGGTGTACTCTGTATGGAAGACTGTAGTCTTTAATAGTCATCAGTAAGTACTTCAAGTCCTCTTAACTTTTAGCCAGCAAGGATATGGCTTCTGCACAGCACAGGTCATTAATAAGACTTCAAGCAATCCTGATGCCTCAATCTTCCAAAAGTACAGCTTTTGAGATTATTTACTTAGCATATAGATTGAATAAACATGATGAAAGGATTATAATCCATATACATACCTTTCCTGATTTTATATCACATAGTTTCCTCCTTTATTTTGCTTGGAACAAATGATTTTTGGTCTATACACAAGTTCCACAGAAAGACAATAAAATGCTATGTAATTCATGTTTTTCTACAATATTATCCATACTTTGCTATGTTCCATACAGTGAAACATCTTTGAATAGCCAAAAAAAAATGCAAACATATTTCTGGTATTCTCTGCTTTTATCCATAACTTATCTGATATTAGGAATTTTATCACTCATCTCACTTCCATTTCTGAATCCAACTTGAATTTATGGCAATTTTTCTGCCAATGAACTACTGCAACCATGTTTCAATTGATTTTACCAAAATTTAACATCTAGGCTATTAATGATACTGTTCAATAATTTCTATATTCTGCTGGATCATCTTCCTTTGAAAAGGACACAAATATGGATGGATATTTTCCATTAAGTTGATGAGAAAACGCTTTTCCTAATTTCTGGGCATGAGATAAGTGAGCACCAGCATTAAATTTATTTGTTGATATGGTTGAAGTAGTGTTTCATCAGTCTCTGGAGCCTTGTTTTTCATCCATGCCTTCAGTGAAGCTTGAAATTATTTCTTCAGGACTGTTGACTTTGGTATAATGACTCTGCATATTCCTTCCATCTTCTTTGATCTTTGGTTAGGGAGCTTTAGCAATTACCATGGGGACACACTTGCCTCAACGCCATCGTATTGAGAGGAGCACCAATAACAGAGGTGTGGATGTCTTCCAGTTGATTAGCTCAGTAGCTGTCTTAAAAATTTCTTAATGTGGCTTGGACTGTGATCCTTCTCAGAGCACTAGACAGCAGGCCCTGCTGCCTGGATGCTCCTGCCCTGATGCCTAAAGAATCCAGTCACTCTGCCTGCACTGCAGCCCCTCTGAACTATATCACAAGGACCAGTATCACAGGGGAAGCCAATTCATTCCCCCTCCCAGAGCCTGAACTCCCTTGAGCTGCAGACCCTTTGGATCTGCCTACCTGCGCCAGTCACTTGGTAGAGAAGGCTGCTAACTCATGGGCCATATCTCTCCCCAACTGAGGCAAATCTTCCCTTGAGTCAAAGAATGATAGAGAAACATAGTCAGGGTCACTGCCCCTCCCTCTTCTGGAGCAGTGAGCTCCTGAGCCTAGGGGACTGCTAAGGCCTCAGACATGAAAAACCATACCACAGCAATGTCACAGAAGAAGCAGACTTCCTCATACCCGGCATAAAACTGAAACAAATGGCACCCCCAAAAGTCATCATAACACAGTATCAATGATTTCCTGAAGCCAGAAAGTCTGATGGAACTTTATGACACAGAATTCAAAAGGACAATGATGGAGTATTTTCTTTGAATAAGTGAAAGACAAACTCGAAGAACTATAAGACTCTGCAAGCAAACACCAAGAGGAACTTAAAAAAACAACAATCCAAGGCAATGCATATAAAACAAATGAGACAGTAGAGGCTCTGGAAAAACAAGAAACCACAATCCAGAATATGAGAACCAATGTTTCAGATGTTGTCAAGATGTTGGAAGGACATATGAAGAGGTGAAGATATGGAACACAGAACCAGTGAAATATAAGATAGGATTGTCGCCACTGATCTGCTAGAACAAAAAGCAAAGTCAAAGGGGAAGGAAAAAGAAGAAAGCCTAAGAATAATACGGAACACCATCAAGAGGAATAACATGCACCTCATCAGTATCCCAGAACAGAAAGAAGCAAGTAAAGGCACTGAGAAAGTTGTGGAAAAACTACTAGAAGAAAATTTCCAGGCACAATGAAAAATCAGAGAATATATATTGAAGAATCTGAGGGAACTCTATGTAGGATAGACCCAAAAAGAAAAATACCAAGGCATATCACAGTTAAGTTTACTAGAACCAAAAATAAGGAGAGAATTCTGAAAGCAGCTAGTGAGAAATGAAGAGTAACCAGTAATAAGGGAGAACAAATAAGATTAACTGTCAGTTTCTCAGCAGAAATCATGCAAAAACAACAAGGCAGTTGAATGACATACATAAAACACTCAAGGAAAATAAATATGAACCAAAACACTGTACTCAGCAAAATTGTCCATCATATATGATGGAGAGGGCATGATATGCTCAGAAAAGCAGAATTTAAGGGAGTTTGTTAAAACAAGACCAGTGTTGCAGTAAATATTGACAGAAGTCCTTCTTACAGAGATGCCACAGAAAGCAGGATGGACCAAAGTAACCAGCAATGACACCATAAAGAAGTCAACAAAGTAATAGCAATAAAACCTTGCTTCTCAATAATTACAATGAATGTGAATGGTTTAAATGCACCAGTGAAGAGAAAAGGAGTAGCAGATTGGATAAAAACCAAAACAAACAATGGTAAAAACAAAAATAACAAACTATCAATAAGTTGTCTACAAGACACACACCTGAAAAGTGAAGACAAAAAAGACTAAAAAATAAAAAGGTGAGAAAAATATACCAAAAATATGCAAACCAGAAAAAAAGCAGGAGTAGCAATATTAATATCTGATAAAATAGATTTCAGTGCAAAAATCATCACAAAGGATAAGGAAAGTCACTATATAATACTTAAAGGGTCAATAGAACAAGAGGACATAACCATAATAAAATATCATGTATCAAGTGAAAGAACTGAACAATATATAAAGCAAACATTTAACAGTACTGAAGAAAGAAATACATACCACTGCAATAGTAGTAGGATATTTCAATATACCACTCTCAAGAAAAGATAGAACTACCAGAAAGAAACTTTACAAAGATCCTGAAGAATTAAACCACACAAGAGATATATACAGACTAACGCACCCTAAAAGAGATGAATATACCTTCTTCTCCAATGTACATAGAACATTCTCCAGAATAGATCACATTTTAGGTCATAAGGCAGGCATCAATAAATTAAAAAACACAGACATAATACAAAGCATCTTCCCAGATCACAATGCTACAAAACTAGAAATTACAAGGAAGATAAAAAAGAAAGAAAGAAATAAAAACAACATCATACATTTGGAAGAAGGGGAGCTCTGGTGGCCTAGTGGCAAGAAGCTGCACTGCAATCCTAGAGATACGCGGTTTGAAGCCACCAGATGCTCTGCCGGAGAAGAAGGGGCTATCTCCTCCTGTACCAGTCTGATGCATCCTATCTCCATACCTTTTCAACCTAT